TGCCCAGAAGATTTTTCTATATTGTAGATGTTAACCCTTCATCTATGATAAAATTTGCAAATATTATTCCCCATTTATATCTTTTAACTTTGATTCTTGTGTTTTGTTCTACACACAAGATTTTTAAGTTTGTTTTGTCTCTTTTGTTGGGGGGTTATGTTTATAATAAAATTTATTAATCTTCTCCCTAATTGCATCTAGATTTTTAATTATGTTGGAATAGTTTTCCTTACTCCCAGATTATAAAGATATTCACTCATATTTTCTTTCAGTATTCATATTCTTTCATTTTTTTTTTTACCCTTACATCTCTGACCCATTTGGAAGTTGTATTAAAATAGGTTTTGGGGCAACTGGCTGGCTCAGTCAGTTAAGCCTCCGACTCTTGATTTTGGCTCAGGTTGTGGGATCAAGTCCCACGTCGGGCTCCATGCTCAGCATGGAGTCTGCTTGAGATTCTCTCTCTCCCTCTCCCACTGCTCCTCCATCTGCTCTCTCTCAAATTAATGAATTAATAAAATCTTTTTTAAAAAGTAAAATCGGTTTTAAGAGTGAACTCAATTTTGGATGCCTGGATGGCTCAGTCATTAAGCGTCTGCCTTCGGCTCAGGTCATGATCTCAGGGTCCTGGGATCGAGCCCTGCATCGGGCTCCCTGCTCAGCGGGGAGCCTGCTTCTCCCTCTCCCACTCCCCCTGCTTGTGTTCCCTCTCTCGCTGTGTCTGTCTCTGTCAAATAAATAAATAAAATCTTAAAAAAAAAGAGTGAACTCAATTTTATCTTTTTTCCATGTAACTATCAAGTTATGCAAACTAACTTATTTAAAAGTCTGTATTTCCCCCAATAATTTGAGATGTCAACTTCATTGTACACAGACACTTGCATTTCTGGAGTTTCTACTCTGTTCCTTTGCTCAGTCTATTAATCTATCTTGTCTAACTCTGACCTTAATTTCACATATATTTTCTTTTTACTACTGCCACTGTCTCTACTATTTCTCTCTATAGCTAATACCACTAAGAGTGATGCAATGAGTTGTATTTTTATCAACTGAGCACCTTCACCAATGTTACTTCACTTTCACCTCCCATCTGTGAAATAGGTAGGAGGGGTACCATGATATATGACAAATGGGGAATAATATTTGCAAATTTTATCATGGACAAAGGGTACCGTGAATCCTTTTATAGCTCAGACTCCATATGCTTTGTTCTGCTCCTCTAGCAACTTCAGGATATCTTTGCCATTTGATCTACCATATTATGTTGAAATGATCTACTTATGGATGAAATTAGGTATTCCAGTGTCTTACAAATGCTTGGAATATGGCAAATGCTCAGTGTTTGTTATCAGTAAACTCAGGGCAGAAACCAAGGCATAATTAAACTAAGTGACTTACCTCACAGAAAACGACTGACATGGAACCAGAAACCAGGCCTTATTTTTCTCAGGCTAGAGCTCATTTTTTTTTATTATTTAAATTCAAGTTAGTTAACATACAGTACAACATTG